TGTTTAATACACATTTAGATCGACATGAGACTTCGGGACAGAAAAATTCTAAGGTACTCGTAACTATACTGAGCTCACAATGCATCCTATGAGGAATAAATGGAGACCGTTCTCGAAGGATAGCGGGGATACGGTAACGAGAACGAACCTTTCAAAACAACAGTTGTAGGCGTCGCCGTCTTTTCGGTGACACGGAATAACAGCGTTATAATAGAGAAAATGCAAATATCCACACCCGAACCGGCGAAGGCGTCGAAAACTCCTGGAAAAAATCGATATATTGATTTTCGTCACGATTGACCCCGATCAATATCGATTGATTTGCAGCTATTTCACTGACCTCCAACGAATCCGGTGATGAACAGCACTATGGCCTTCCATGTGCAAAAGTCGGGGATTTCTTTGTAGGTCTTTCGTCTCTTTTGGGAGTTCAGAATTCCAAGTGCGATAGCGAACGCCGTCCAGATAGCCACGAACATCATCTTCTTTTGTGGCCCATTGAAAAGTGGATCGATCTGAAAAATAGCAATAGTATAATGGAAAACGTCAAAGCGAACTTATCAATTATCGATTTTTTGTAGCGAACTTACGAAATGCACTCCAATTATAAAGCCGGGAATCGCTCCGAGAGTTCCGAGTATTACAGCACGATTTTCGATTCTTTACCTTCATAAACATCACACACATAAGCGCTGATGTCATACCTGAAAGATCGATTATCGATTAATTTTCATACACACACCGCTAGGCTCCAGGCATAAATCAATATATCGATCGCTGACCGCATGACTGGATCATAAGCGAGAAATCTCTGGCTATCGATGGTGCAATATGAAGTGCCAACGTCATGACAGGAAAAGCTACCGCACCACTTCCTTCTGATGTCATCCCTGAAGGAATAAATATTTATCCACCAATCGTAGAAAAATCGATATATACGATCGTTTACCTCCAACAAACGATCCAAGAATCATTGTCACTGGCATGTGCCAATAGTCTGGATACCATTGGAAGAAGTTGTGTCGGATGGCGACCATCCACCAGACAGTCTTCAAAATAATTAATGATATTCCTTCAACAAAAACTATTGATTTTTGCGTTACCTGCATGAGGACGAACGGAATGAGCATCGCGACGAATTTCCTGTACTTTATGAAGATCAAATCCTCCCATGTGGGATTTTCCGGCAATGCTGGAGCTCAGCCGTCGCTTCTTCTGCCACTTGGGTATGTTGCCTAAATTAGGTTACCAATTTCATTTTTGACACAATAATCGATTAATCAACCACTAACCCTCTAAAAAGTACTTCCGGAACCATCGCTTGACTTTTTGACCGCGTGTAAGAGGTTCTTGTGGTACATACGGCCGCTTTGGCAGTGCACCTGGAATAAGGAATGGAAACGTTGAGATCAAACTTAAACTCCTAAACAGGCTACCAGGCGGACGCACCGAAACCACCCTACTGGGCGTGACTTAATCGATGGTGAATTGTGTGCATACCATAGCCCTGATGAAGAACCTACGCAAAAATAGGATATTTATTTATTAATTAATAATAAAGAATCCAGGTTTATGAATCATGCAAATCAGAATTCGAAAGAGCAAAGCGGTTGGTACAAGAAATAAGTATTCAAGCCTGAGTCTAGGATGGAGCTTGTCTACTGTCGATTTCAAGAGCTCTGCCTGGGCTGGTCACCTGTCCAAGCCACAACCTCTGAGGGACTACCTGGTTCAGTGGCTAAGAGGGATTTTGTAATGAATGGATTTAGAGCAGATAATCAAGAGCCGATGGCCGACGTTGGTTTCAAAATTATACATTTGACGATGGGTAACCGGAACAAGGTTAGGGGCCAATTACGCCTTATACAGTTTAGCCTCAGGGAATGAGGGATTACATGTGGTTAACCTTGTTTTTGCCATTGTACATACGAAAAACAGATTAAATGCGTCATGCAGTGAATTCTGCCGTTCGACAATGGAACGGGGAACGGCACTAATTAATTCTTTTTCTAAAAGAGGACTAATCGATAATTGATTACAGTACATTCCACCGCTTTAATGGGTCACTATGTGGCAAGAATCTGCCGGTTCGCAGAAATTCTAGATTACCATGAAAAGTGATCATTTTGAATGCCTGCACGATTATTGATCGAAATTTCTAAGGCTATGGTATCGTTTGCGCACAGTTATCGATCGAGTATAGTTGAGATTCATCTTCCCTTGTCATGGTCCAACATTTGCAGATTGGCACGATTAAAATTAGTAGGCTCCATCTCAACATATTGATAGTGGCTACAATAATACGTTCAACCCTCTAACCTTCAATATAACCTTGGTAAAGTCCAGGAAGAGCCAACCAATCCTATTTGTGATTCAAGAAAGAGACCGTTTCATAAAAATGGCGTATTGAAGGGGTTTTTAGCTGAAGGAATCCAGGTTAGACTAGGCTTAATTTATCTGAGGAAGGGCTTCGAGAGGGTGACAGAGACTTCCTTCCAGAGTGATGATCGTGCCTAAACCATAAATTTCCATAGCTCAAAAGCTGACTCCGGTGTTTCGCAAGGACATTTTTCCCACGTACGATAAAAAGTGTGAACCAGTCACCCGGCAACAAAAAAAAACGATTTTTCAGAGCTTCAAAAATAATGGCGAGATTGCTCATGATCGACTTATCTCAAGGTTGACTTGCATCATAAAGCGATCGGAAGGCAATTCTAGAAAACTCTAGGCACTGGAGCCATGAGAAGTACAGAGATTGATGAGTTCAGTGAAATGGCCCACAACGAACCGCGACATGAACACGATTTTACGCCTACTAAACCCGCATAAGCTGCTCGGGGTTAATCTTGTGGTAGTTATAACAAATTTACGGTATACGACCGAAGAACGAAGCACAAGAGTGACTAGTGGGTGCGCTTCGGTCGTGGCTACCCAAAGTCAACCCTGGGCAGAGGTTCAATCTGACGTCTCAGGACGGCACAAAGAAGACACCGGGGCTTAACCCGGCGCTATGAGTCCACTGCGATTAAATGCTGATGGTAAAGCGATGGAAGAGCGTAGTGTCGGGTTCGGGTCGGCGGAAACGTATCTCTTTTTATAGGCGCTGTATGTCTCGAAGTAATTCACGTGGGTTGCACCGCCTCAACGAATCATTCCGATGATCGGCTGCCAAACAAGTTTCCACGCTGTCACCCCACCCGCTATCGTTGACTTTTCGTTTTTTTTTCGTGATTATGTTACAATCTCGACTACCGAGACTACGGTAGGGGTGAAGCTGTGCGAAATTGCGTCCACAGTTCTATTGCTATAACAGCGCACGAGTACCGCCGCTTGAAGCACCTCTGACGCGTCAACAACAGCCTAAAAAAGCTAGAATGGGCTGGGAACGGTCTTGGAACCTTTGTGCTATCCAGAGATCATTATATTGGTCGCATCCGCATTCAAATATCCTTGCGTTATTTGAAGATTCTACGTAACGCATTACGCATCCCAAGACTACACTATTTATGACTTTAGCGCTCACATGAACACAAGAAGTGGAACTAGGAGGAA